CTGCCCAAAGTTGGCAGCCAATGCCTCCAGGTACTTTCGTTGATGCACCCGCATGCACCGCTTCTCCACATCTCGTTCGATGTGGAGCCCAAGGTAGAAGCTCACGTCACCAAGGGCCTTGCACTTGAACTTGTCTTGAAGCTTCAGCATCACCTCCTTCACAAGGTCAGAAGAGGGTGAGAAAATGAGGATGTCATCCACATAAACCACCATGAAACTCCTCTGCTCCCCCTCGCCAAGCATGAACAAGGAGTGATCGGCCGTTGAGGGAGTGAAGCCGATCCCCTCCAACACTTCGCGCAGCTTCATGTACCATTGCCTAGGGGCCTGCTTCAGCCCATAGAGGGCCTTCTTCAGCTTCCACACTCTGCCACTACCATCATCAAACCCCTCTGGCTGCGCCATAAATATCTCCTCCTCAAGGATGCCGTTAAGGAATGCCGTTACGATGTCCATTTGCTTTACTACCCATCCTTTGATGGCGGCTCCCGCGAATAGGGTTCGCAGCGTCGTCGGCTTCACCACAAGGGCAAACAGCTCCTTGAAGTCCACCTTCTCCTTCTGCTGGTACCCCTTGGCTACAAGCCTAGACTTGTAGCGCTCGATCTTGCCGTCGGCATCCGACTTGATTTTGAAGAGCCACTTGGACGTTATCGCCGTACGCCCCTCCGGTAGCTCCACCAATTCAAACGTGTCATTCTCCTCGATGCTCTTCAGCTCACTCTCCATGGCCTTCTTCCACTCCTCAGCATCACTACTCTCCAAAGCCTCCTTGAGAGTTGCTGGTTCTCCCGGCATCTCCACCGGAGAGAAGAACGCGAAGGCACACTCCTCGTAGTCACTCTCCTCGTCGTCTCCGACCATCATTGCCGCTCCGGCCAGGGCTGTCTTGCCCTGCTTTCCCGGCGCATCATAGGTCAGCCTATTAGGGGGTTGAACTCTCCTCTTCCCCCTTCCTTCCTCCTCAGCTGCAGGGACTTGAAGGCCTTGGCGTTGCTGCGGTGTGGCTCGAATCCGTGGAGCACTCGTAGTACGGGAAGGGAGTGACGGTGCACGCTCGCTCACTTGCTGCACCTCCTCCTCTTCTTCCTCTGCATCATTGGCCTCCTCTCCCCCATTCACAAGGGAGGATTGCCTTGTGGTTGTGCTGCCGCTGCTCAGTTCCAAAGGCAGCTCCACATGCTCCAAACCGGAACTCTTCACCTCCCCAAACCGCACGCCTATCTTCGCCTCATTCTCCGCCTTCCAATCCTTGTACATGAAGTTCTCCATGAACTTGCAGTCCCTGCTCACCAAGAACTTCTTGGTGAATGGGTCCCAAAGAAGCCATCCCTTGCTGTTTTGAGCCATGCCCAAGTGCACGGCCCACACCGCCTTGGCACCAAGCTTGTTGTGCCGAAGATGCTTAGGCACGAGCGCCATGCACATGCACCCGAACACCCGAAGCATATCCACCTTTGGCTTCCTTCCTAGCCACTCCACATAGGGCACCCATTTGTCTGCTCCCACATGATTCAAGGCTCTGTTCTTGGCCACACACGCGCTCCGCACCGCATCAGGCCAGAAATAGTCGGGTAGCCCGGCTTCAATGAGCAACCCGCGTGCCGCCTCCGTGATTGTGCGGTTCGCTCGCTCGGCGATGCCGTTCATTGCAGGGGAGTATGGCATGGTGAGGGAGTGCTGAATACCATTCTTCTTCAGCCACAACCCAAACTCCTTGCTCAGGAACTCTCCCCCTCGATCGGTGCGGATTGACTTGACTAGACGGTCTTGTTGCCGCTCCACCATCGGGAACCAATCCGTCTTCAACGTTTCAGCCACGTCGCTCTTCTTGGCCAGCACGTACACCCAAGTCATGCGGGTGTAGACGTCGACAATGGTGAGAAAATACTCAGCTCCAGCAGCTCCAAGCTTCAGGGGGCCCACCACGTCCATCACCACCTCATCAAGCGGTGCCTTTGCCGTTGCCTCCGAACTAGGGAACGGAAACCGGGTGAACTTGGCTTGAATGCACGTCGGGCAGCCAAGCACCTCATCGGGCTCCCCCTTCACACGTATGCCAGCAACCATCTCATTCTTCACTAGCTGCTGCAAGATGGGCAGGGCCACATGCCCCATGCGCCGATGCAAGGTGAGCCAATCACACTCCCCCGTAGCCGAAGTTGGATTGGAGAATGCCGCGCTCGCAATAGCGCCCCACATACTCTCTCCGTAGTCCTCCTCCGCTGCTGCCTCTGGGTTCTCCTTACCCTTTTGCTGCTCCTTGGTTGCTGCACCACTCTCCTTAGGTTCACTGAACTTGCTGGTCCCTCCAGGTTTGCTCTTCTTGAGCTCATTCTCCTTAGCGCGACCGTTTGCGCCATCGTCGCTACCGACCGCTCCATCCTTGGTGCTGATGCTTGCTGCCACTTGCCTCTCCTTAGGCATAGGGACCACTGGGATCTGCCACATCTCGTTGTAGACATCCCTATCCTCATGAAGGTCCCAAAGAATTCGATCGCCAAGCCTTGCGGTGTAGGTCTTGGCTCCCTTCGAGTTCGTGTCCATGCCGGCCTTTGCCAACCGCCGCACGGAAATCAGGTTTGCAGCAAGGCTGGGCACCCAAAGCACGTTCTTGAGGCCCACCATCTTCCCATCAGCACCCTTGAACATGGCCTTGCCCATGCCTTTCACCTCTGCTCGCTGCCCCAAAGCCGATGTGACATGCTTCACCGGTGACGGCTCGAGTTCGGTGAGCAAGTCCGGGCGAGGTGTCATGCTATAGGTAGCGCCACTATCAATCACCCAATAGCCCAGGGGGTGTAGGGTCACCTTCCTCACAGCTGCTGGCTCCTCAAAGCCTTCATCCTTCTCTGGACCAGCCGGGTACTTGCGTCGACACGAAGTAGAATAGACCCGGGTATCGATCGTCGCTCGGGTCCTTGTCGTTGTCTCCGCTCTTCATGTTTGCAGCTCCGCCACCGCGACCGCCACGGCCTCCACGGCCTCGTCCTCTCCCTCCTCCTGCTCCTCTACCCTCTTGGCCTTGAGCAGGGGTCCAACCATCAGGGAGTTTGTAGCAGTCGCGCCACATGTGTCCGCTCTTGTGGCAATAGTGACACTCGCCGTCGAATCGGCCGCGACCGCGTCCGTAGCTCTTGTCGTCGCTGCCGTAACCGCCACTCCTGCGGCCTCCGCCGAAGTTGCTGCCACCAAACCTTCCTCCCCCTCGTCCTCTGCCTCTTCCTCGACCATATCCACGGCCGATGCTCGCTGCCCCAGCGCCATCCGCACTCGCCAACTCACGGCGGCGGAAATCCTCTTGAAGGATAGCTCGCTTCACGTCTTCAAGCGAGAGGCGGGGCAAGTCGCGATTAAGGTTGATGATGAGCGAGGACCATGACTCTGGGAGTAAGGCCAGCAACTTGGTCTTCTTTTGGAGCTCACTGTAGTTCAAATCAGCTCCCTCAAGCCGCGTCAACAAGTCGAAGAATTTCTGCACCCCTTCTTCAACCGCTTCGTCTTCTTCAATTCGTAGTGCCGCCATTTGCCGTTCCAACACCACCGCTACCGCCGCTGTTGCAGGAGCATGTACACCCTTGAGAGCAGCCCATGCCTTTGGTCCTTTCTCTGGTTCACGCTGGAATGGCTTGATGTGACGGATCTGACTGCTCCCCAACGCTTGCCCAAGTAAGAGATAGCCTTGTGCGCTCTTCCGCACCCACGGGCTCTTCTCCGGGTCGTTCTCGGGGCGCTTCTCCGTTCCTTCCATCACCTCCAGCAGGTCATAGTGGTCAAAGATGTTCTCCATCTTGAAGGACCATTCAGCAAAGTTGTCACCGTTGAACTTGTCAAGCCCAAACACCCTAGGCTCATCCCTAGGTGGGCCAAGACTTGGTTGCATGGGCGCCATGGCTGAATCACGGGGTTGGCCTTGAGCTTGAGCTTCTCCACTGCCACCAGCACCTCTGCCACCCCTTTCCTCAGGTCCAGACATTGTCGAAACTGCTCCAAGGGGCTCTGATACCACTTGTTATAGTCACAATAGGCTTGAATGTGCCTAAAACGAAAGATAGAGAGCACAGACGGATTTCTGCACAGCGGCTTCAAACGTTGATAGCGTTCTGCTCACAGCTGCAAATGACTTGATTCAAATTGGATCTGGAGCGTCTTCACGTCGTCTACAATTAGCAATTTAGATTGCACGATTTGATAAAGAATTGACGACACACCGTCGGTTTGAACGAACGGTACTATGGCAGCCACTATAGTCTTAGAACACAAGATAGGAAGAGTTGCGAGTTGGGAATGACTCCCAGCTCCTACAAACCCCAAGAGCCGAGGTACAGTGATGTGGAACAGTGCCACACTGTCCCCAACCACGAAGGGTCTCGAAACTACCCTTCACTAGGGCCTACACCAAGTGAAATGTTACACTACACAAAGTAATGTAACTATCTTCAATATCTTGAGGTGTACCCTTTTGGCGAGCTTCGAAATCATTTGAGGCTTGACACCAAGGCTCGGGCTCTTCATCACAAACTCATCCTTGAGTTCTTGATGGGTCTGCTGCACACACCTGCGACACGCCGAACGTTCGACACATGACAAAATAGAAACCGCGCACGACAAAATAGAAACCGCGCGCGAGACACAAACGACCGCGTAACACGCGTCTAGCGATAACTCGCTATTGACTCGACACACACACTCGACATCATGACTCAACATTCACACACAATTATAAGCATGAAATATATATTATCCCATGCCCTCATACCATTCCATACACATACACATTCACGCACACGGACAACAAGCCGAGTGCAAACCGTAGGGTTGCACCAACAGCCTGCGTGCGCGCACCGCCCTTCCGGCATCCGCGCGAGCAGCCGCGTGGGCGGCACTGATGCGGCAGCTGCGCGTTTTACGAGGTGCGCGAGAGGCGCGCATTCACGCGCCAGCGCCATCGGCGGCGCCCGCCACTCGCGGACGGATGCGCGGGAAGCTGCTGCGGAGTGATGCGAGGTGCGTCGCCCCTCGCCGCGCGCACCGCACCCACTCTACCCGCCCATCACCGCCCCGCTCCCCCCAACCACGCGTACGTGCTTCGCCAGGACTCGACGCTACGAGCCGAAGCGCGAAAAGCGAAGCGCGTGGAGATCGCTGGCCGTGGGCCCGCCATGAGTCGGTCGCGCGCGGCGGCAGTGGCGTTGGCCAAGTGGGCAGTGGCGGCAAGAGCGTCCGTGAAAGGCGGGTTGGCAAAGTGAGTGCGCGAGTGGTGAGTGAGTCCGTGGCAGCAGCGCGAGTGCGATGAGGGCGCCAAGCGTGCGATGAGGGCGCAGCAAGCGTGGGATGAGGGCGCAGCAAGCGTGGGATGAGGGTGCGAGTGCGATGAGGGCGTCAGCCTTGTCACCAAAACCCCCCCTTCCCGCACCAAGCGTGGGATGACGGCGCTGGGTGCTGCCATCGCATGCCCATGCACCAAACCCGACCTCGCACCTTCCTCCACCCTCCTTTCCCTCCCTCCTCCCCCTTCCTCTCCCCCCACTCTCTCTTTCCTTTCCCCCTTCTCTCCCGCTCCCTTCACCCCCTTTACTCCTCTTTTCACCCTCCTGTCCCCCTCCTGTCCCCCTCCTGTCCCGCTCCTATCCACCTCCCTCCCGTCCCTCTCGTCTCCCTTTGCTTCCCTCTCCTTTCCCTTTCTTTTGCCCTCATTTCGGCCGCCCCTTCCTAACGCCCTCCTCTTTCCTTCTTTCGCATCCTATCACTCTCCTTTCCTCTCCACTTCCCCCCTTTTCTCCCTCCGTTCCCCCTTCTTTCCCCCTCCCCTCCTTGCCCCCTCCTTCATCTTCTATTTCCTCCATTTCCCCTCCTTTCCCATTCCTGTCACCCTCCTATCCACCTCCCGTCCCCCTATTTTCTTCTCATTTCCCCCTCCACGCCCCCTGCTTCCCTTCTCCTGTTCCCCTCCTGTCCCCCTCCGTCCAACCACCTTCCCCTCAGTTCCCCATCTTCCTCCAAACCCCCTCCTATTCGCCTGCCTGTCCCCTGCTTTCACTTCTCACTACTTCTTTTCCTCCATTCCCTCTCCCCTCCCCCTCCCATTCCCCCGTCCACTCCCCTCATTCCCCTTCCCCCCTCGTTTTACGCTCCTTCCGCCTCATTTACCCTGCCCACTTCAATCCTTTTCCTATTCCACTGCCCTTCTCCTCCGTTCACGCTCACTTTCTTCCTTCCCCCTTCCCCCCTTTCCCACTCCTTTCCCCATCCTGTACCCCCTCCTTTCCCACTCCTTTCCCCATCCTTTCCCCATCCTTTCCCCCTCCTTCCGCCCTCCTTTCCCCCCCCTTTCCCCCTGCTGTGCCCCGTCTGTCGCCCTCCTCCACCCGTGCTGCCCCCTGCCTGCCGCACGCCTTCTCCCGGGTGCGTGCTTGGGGCAGGCAGAGGGGGCTGCAGGCGCCAGGGAGCAGCGCCATGCAGGGGAGGCCATGGGCGGCCATGCACGCAGGCGTGGGCTCAACGGGGCTCTCCACTCGCCCTGCCTCCACACGCGCTGCTCATCCGCCCCTCCTCCCCGCCTGCTGCCCTCTCCTCCCCCCCCTTTTGCTCCTCGCCACACCCCTCCCCGCGCTGCGCCATCCACTCGCCCACCTCACCCTCCACCTCAACGGCTTGCCTGACCCACTTGGGGCTGGGAGTTGCTGCTGCAGCAGGGGGGACAGCAGCAGCAGGAGCACTGCATCCCCTCTCACCATGCGCTGCAACACCCACCATGCCACCACCATCAACACCACATGGCAAACACCAACTCTCAACCTGTCACAGCCGTGTTGATGCTGGCACCTGAGTGCACATGGCACTGCCCTGCACTGCCAATCCAATCCTCTGCTGCCCTTATCCACAACTCATTGCACGCAACTAGGCTTTCTTCATTCATTCCATCATTGTCATTGCAAGTGGGCACACACAACAAGGCCTTAATCCTACCCTACATTGGGCTTAAGCCTACAGGTGGCGTCATGCCAGCACCTACAGCATTGGTGCCTACGGCTACGGTACTTTGCACCCATTTGCACCCATGTCAAGGCAGCACCTATATGTAGTATTGGGCTGTCGTGCACCCATTCCATGCACCCATTTGCAGCTATGCAGTATCGGGCTGTCGTCATGTTGCCCACCACTCCCACCTCTCCATCCACGTTATTCCCACCCTGCCTGCACCCATCCTTGAAGCTTGCAGCACCGCATTCACACCACAGCACCACACCACACCACCTTTCCTTCACCCCCTAACTTGCAACCGCCACCCACCAACCACCCACCCACACTCCCACAAACGCCCTGCTGTGAAGCAGCGCGCAAAAAAGGGCCGTGCCACCGTCGCTCCCCCATCCACGCCACACCCATCCGTCCTCCCCATCGCTCCGCGTTCGCTGCTCTCCCTGTTGCTGTGCTGCGCTGCTTACCTGCCTTTCATTCCGTCCGCCCATCTATGCTGCTTTCCTGCCTGCCATCCCATCCACCCATCATCTCTCTCTGCAAACAGTCCGCAACCCCCTTTTTTTTTTTAATCTTCATTTTTCTTTCTGCGTTTTTTGCTATTTTGTTTTTCCATTTCGTTTTTCGTCCTTGTTTGCCGTCAGAGCAGTCAGGGCCGCCATGGGCGCTTTGGGGTGGCAGTGAGCGCGGCCTTGGCCTTGGGCGTTCTGCGAGGCGGCTTGACGGCAGCTTCGCCTTGCACTCGCCGCACCGGCCTGGGCGCTGCGGCACATCGAGGCCTCGGGATCAGCGTCGGTCCCTCCACGCGCCGAATCGCTGCTCCCGTGTTGCTCGGCTTCGGGATGCGCGACGGGGGGAGCGACATCGGCGTTGATTGCGTTGCTGCTGCCGCCATGCTGCGACCAGCTGACGGGCGTGACAACGCCACCACCAATGCCACCGACGCTGATTCCGTCGCGGCTGATTCCGCCGCGGCTGATTGCGGCGCAGCCGATTCCGCCGCGGCTGATAGCGGCGCAGCCGATTCCGCCGCGGCTGATTGCGGCGCAGCCGATTCCGCCGCGGCTGATTGCGGGGCTGCACATTCCGGCGCGGCGGAGTCCAGCGCAGCAGTTTCCGGCGCACCCGAAGCGGCGCAGTCGCACGCTGCAGGGTCCGACGCACCAGTTTCCGAGGATGCGCATTCCGACGCGCCTGACTCCCACGCTGCGCATTCCCACGCACCAGTTTCTGACGCCGTGGCGTCGTGCTTGCATCCCGCGGCGGCGTCAGTGCGATGACCGTTGTTGGTGCTGTCGCTCAGCGGCTGTACGCGCCGTGATGCGCTCGACTTCTCCCCGCCGAGGCTCTTCCAGAAGCTCAGCGCTGCAGAATACGACTCGCGCAATGGGGCCATGCTGAGGTAACGAGAACGCGACCGGGAAGGCTGAGAGGTTCTAGTAGCAAGAACAGAAGCTGTAAGGTGGAGAGTGATGAGAGGAATGAGCGCGTGAGGCGGTGCTTTGTAGTGCGCAGGTGCGAGGGTGGCGAGTGGCGAGCGGAGGAGAGGCAGAGCGAGAAGCCTTGGGGTGGTTGGGGAGGGAGTGGAGGAGACAGCAGGGCAGCACGCTGCGTGCGCTGCGGAGAGATCAAGGCCCAAAAACAGTGCCTTGGGATCTTGCTTCGGTGCACTTCGGTGCACCTGGTTAAATTCAGCTTCGCGCGCAGTTCTGTGCGCTGAAAAGTAGTAACCCCGAACTGCTCGCCTGAGCTGGTTCGGCCTGACTTGTCGGGCCAAACCACTCACGAGTCGCCCCGTAACCCTCGCCACACTTCCGAGCCAGACTTTGCCCCTTGGTTTTCGCCTAGCTCGTTCGCGCTGCCTTGCCTCGCTAATTGCAGTCCTACTTTATAAACTTGCTGCGTGTTAGTTTCATCTGCAAAAGCCTTACCTTATGTGAATGAATTTTCAGATTTGCAAATTCAACCCATTATCTGAATTAAGTCGTATTAAACAGGTGGGTTTTCGCCTAGCTCGTTCGCGCTGCCTTGCCTCGCTAATTGCAGTCCTGATTTATAAAAAGTTGCTGCGTGGTAGTTTCATATGCAAAAGGCTTACCTTGTTTGTGTGAATGGAATTAAAGGTTTGCAAATTCAACCAAAACTGAATTAATTCATATTAAACAGGTGGGTTTGATAAATATTCGATAGGTGTTTGAAAATTTAATAATAATTAGTGAATCCATGCCTTGCTTAAAAGTACGTTTCTAGGATTTAAGGTAATAGAGTGTGGAAGGATGTAAAGACTTTTTCAGCATTCCTTACTGCGTTCTTCAACATCGCGTACAGCAGCAGCCGTTGTTCGCCCGTTTTTGCTAACGGGGCTTCGCCAACTTCGCGCGCACTGTTTTACCAAACCATGCACCACTGGCCTGACCGAGTCGGCCTTCGTTTCGGAACTAGCCCGAACCTCGATGTCAGCCTTGCGATAGCTAGCTCGTACGCACCGCGTAACCGTTGCATATTTCGCACAAGTATTCGCTCATGCCTACGCTCATACCGTACTTTGTACTTGTTTGACACCTAGTGCAATCCTCGCTATCTCGTTCCATTGCATCCGTAACACTTGGTATCCAGAGTCACCTTTTTTCGGACCGCGCATCTCCGCACCCAGAGAAATCAACTTTCGATTTTTGCTCTCGAAGGAACTAACGCCCCTTAGCACCTAGGAGCCGCTGTCTTCGCGTACTCTCGTAAACGCGTGCAGCCACGACTGCGCCTAGAACTAAGTCGAGCCGCTGTCCTTTGACATGGCCGAACACGTCGACGTCACGACACTTACGCAGGACGCCTTAACGAACTGCTGCAGCACCTGCGCAAAAATTCGGAAGAAATCGCGACGCTGACGGCAGAACCTAAGTCCGTGCAAAACGACGTCGCACGAGCCCAACAAGCACAATCACAAGCACAAGGCACACACGGACAAGCAGCACGTGAAGCTTCGCAACACAGAAGCATGGGGCAACCCTCGAGCGCGGCTAGTGATGGAGTCGCCCGCAACGACGGAGACGACGACCACGGCGCGATAGACCCCGAAGCGACGAATGCGGCCAGAAGCCAACCTCGCATCACGATTTTGGAGCCGACTGGCGAGTCAGCACTTCCGTTGCTGATGCCGCTCAAGCCGCAGCGTCCGCCTTGCTTCGACCCAAGTGAGCGGGGTGGTCCGACCTTTCAGGCGTGGTTGTTCACGATGAACGTTTTCTTCGACGCCAACTACGTCTCGGAGGATTCGGTGAAGATTCGATACGCCGTATCGCTGCTGCGAGGACCCGGCATGGATTGGTGGCGCGTCATCGTCACGAAGCCCGTAGACTACGAGACTCTTTCGACACGGGAAGGACAAACCGGACCCTGGGCGCCGTCGTATTTTGTGGAAGTACCCCAGTATCGCACGTGGGACGCGTGGTGCGCAGGTCTGCGCGCACCATTCGAGCCAATCGCGGCTTCGATCACGGCGCGTCAGAGGTTCAGCACTTGGCGCTAGCTCGGTTCCGTCCAGGACTACACTAGCGAGTTTCTGGAGCTGTGTGAGCAGGTGGGCTACATGCACGAGGGAGAGCACATCAATTGCTACATCGACGGCCTGAAGAACGAAATCCAGCTCCGCAACGTCACCAAATTTTTGGATATTCTCGCTCGACTTCTTACGCCAACCGAGACTGGGGACCTACGGCAGCAGAAGCAGCTGGGGACATCGGCCTCGTGAAACGAACGAGCACGCCACGATACGCGCTAACGCCGCGAATGGCACTGCCGCACCGTTCAAAGGGCGCTGCTTCGCATGCAACATGCCGGGGCACCGTAAGAGCGAATGCCCGGATAACGCTAAGGGAAAGGGGGAAACTGAGCAACGGAAACAGACCAAGCAGCAGGGAAACGCTGGGAGTCAGTAGCAGACGGGCCCTCTACTGACAGGTCACGCTGCTCGCCCGACCCAACCGACCCTCACCGAGTGATTGTGCCGGTTCATGCAATCGACCACACCCGGCCCAATAAGGAGGGTACAACGGCAGACAGTGTCAAAGTATATATATGCTATATATGTTTAGGCTGTAGTGGGGTAGCCAATATGGGGTACAGCCCCTTTTAGGGTTTCATACTTGTACCCAACCCTTGCATAGTTCATTCATTCTTGCTGCTCTGATACCACCGAAGGTTGGCGATGCGTCGCGTTTCCGGGTCTGGGGTGCTCGTGCCTTTGTCCGCGATACCACCGCGGACAAGCTCTCCGCCCGCGCTGTTCCCTGTGTCTTCCTTGGCTTTGTCCCTGACGCGCCTGGTTGGCAGTTTTACCACCCCACCTCGCGCCGTGTCTTCCCCTCTCAGGACGTCACGTTCGACGAGTCGGTTCCCTTTTACCGTCTCTTCCCCTACCGCACTGCCCCTCTCCCCCCCCCCGCCGCTCTTCCTCGCTCCAGGTGCTCCCCAGGTAGACCCCCTCCCCGCTCCCGGTCCTGCTCCTTCAGGTGTGTCTCAGGTAGACCCTCCCCCCTTGACTGCGCCGGTTGAGGTCACTGGTGACTCAGGTCCTGCTGAGGGTGGTCCTGCTCGGGGTGCTGCTTCTGGTGGTGCTGAGCCTGGGGGTGCGGAGCCTGGGGGTGCTGAGCCTGGGGGTGCGGAGCCTGGAGGTGCGGAGCCTGCGGGTGCGGAGACTGGAGGTGCTGTGCCCGGGGGTACTGAGTCTGGGGGTGCTGCACCTGGAGGCGCTGAGGCGTCTGGTGAGCAGTCTCCCTGGAGCGGCCGTCTGCGTAGTCGCTCCGCTGGTGCCTCGCCGCTGCGCTCTCGTCGTCGACTCCCTCTCTCCCCACAGCAGCTGCGTGAGTGGTACGCTGGCCGTCAGGGTCGCGCTGCTGGAGCTAGGGGCCCTGCTGCGGGAGGCGCTGGAGCTGGTGACTCTGCTACTGGAGTTGTTTCTGCTGGAGGTTCTGGAGCTGCTGAGGGTGCTGGAGCTGGAGGTTCGGGAGCTGCTGGTGGTGCTGGAGCTGGAGGTTCTGGAGCTGCTGCGGGTGCTGGCGCTGGAGGTGCTGGAGCTGCTGCGGGTGCTGACGCTGAGGGTTCTGAGTCTGCTGTTGCGCGGTCTCCTTGGAGTAGACGCCTTCGTCCGCGTGTGCCTCTCACCTCACAGCAGCTGCACGACTGGTACGGTCGCCGTCAGGGTCATGCTTCAGGAGCTCGGGGCTCTGCCGCTGGAGGTACTTCTGCTGACGTCACTGGAGCTGGGAGTGGTGCTGGTCCCGGAGGTGCTCGTACTGGAGGTACTGGAGCTGCTGGGGCTAGAGGTGCTGAGCTTGAGGATGCTACTGCTGGAGACCCTGGGTCTGGGGGTGCTGCTGCTGGAGACACTGAGACTGGAGACTCTGGGACTGGAGGTGCCGGTTCTGGGGGTGCTGCTGCTGGTGGAGCTGGTCCTGGAGGAGCTGGCGCTGAGGGTTCTGGGGCTGCTGGAGGTGCTGGAGCTGCTGGGGGTGCTGGAGCTGCTGGTGCTGGTGGCACTTCACAGCCCCGCCTGTTCTTTGCTCCACTGTCTCCGTTGTCTCAGCCACCTTCTGACTCTGTGCTTCGCCAGGTTCTTAGTCTCCCTTCGTCTACTGGTCTTCCGTTACAGCCTGGCTCACCGCTGCCTGCTCCTTTTCCTTACACTAAGCAGACAGGGGGTCTTACTGAGCGTCGTGAGCCTGCGTCGCGTCCTGTCTTGCCTGTCCGTTCTGGTCGTTCCAGTCGTCGTGTTCCTCGTTCGCGTCAGCCGGCTGTCACTGGCACCCACCTCGTAGTCCGTCGTCCTTCCTCTCCTCCGCAGCGTGTTCCTCTGCCGTCCCCTCCTGCGTCTTCTCTGCCTACCGTTCCTGAGCCTGAGTCTGACCGCACCCGTGCTGCTCACCCTACTGTCACGCGTCTGCTCGCCACAGTTGTCACTGACCCGTCGTTTGAGTCTGCTGCTGCGTCTGCCTTAGTCGCTGCGCTTGTTGACTTTGCTGCTGCCTGTCGTCTAGACTACGCCGCTAGTCTGGTTGCTGAGTCTGAGTCTGTCTGTCCTCCGTCCGTCGGGGGTGAGTCTGCTCTTAGCACGGACGTCCTTGAGGACAGGCAGGAGGACCATGAGTGTCTTGCAGCCGCTGCGCCTCATCTCGTATCCATGCTGCTTGCCCCTGAGGGAGACCCGGATGCTCGAGACATCCCGACCCCGCGCTCTTACGCTGAGGCGATCGCGGGTGAGTACTCCTCTCAGTGGCAGACAGCC